CTTACAACGTATTATTATTTCAAACATCTAGATCTCTTAAGCGTCTTGAGACCGATTTTATGAAGTTAGGTAATTGAACATTCGCGCAGACTTAAATATCAAGTCGTTTGTACTATATAGAAGAATAACCTTGCTTTTTCTGTCAGAATGTTACTTTTTCGGGTCAAAAATGGGAAACCAAAGTTCGTCAATAAGCCCGATAGGTCTATTAACCCCTTTTCCTGTGAACGAAATTCTTTGATGTGACCATATTCAAATGAAACCTCGATGGCAGAACTTTTGCATCGTGCTATTTACCTCTTAGGATTAGACAAACAGAAATGTCGAATTTTTGTGGAACTTTTTTTTCCTACGGCCTCCATTAAAAGCGAAAGCCGGATTAAAATAGGCACCAACCATAAAGCTCTTTATCTGAACGGCAACAGATTTTAAAGCTCCTTAAACAGTTTTGCCTTCAATTCTGTGCCAAGATCTCTGCCATTGAAAACCAGCGTATCCCAGCATAGAGATGGAGTGAGTATTTTGAAGACGAAAAATCTGAAAAAATTGACCGCGAAAGGCAATTCATCCTGCAAACTCGTTCAACCTCCTTTCATTGACATACAGATATGAACTTGCCTACGCCAATATAATATAATTGTAGCCCTTTGCCAACTTTACAAGTACGGTACACGTCGAAGAAATTAGCTAACCCTCAACGAATAAAGCTCAAGGGGGTGACGTGAAAAACTAGACCATTCACATTACTCCAAAAGCTCTACAGTTTCATTTAAGCATGAATCAAAACTTCAACCTTTCATTAATCTTCACTGGCTTGAAAATAACGAAAGTCCTGGGTATTTTCAGAACGCCGAACGTAACGGTCTTTGGAACGCCAAATGACTCTAAAGTTATGTGACTAGGGCTAGGAAAATGAGTGAATTTATATTTGTTCAGTTCGCCCTATATAATTACCCTAAAATTCACTCAGTTTTCCAACACTAATTACTAAACTTCGGAGTCAAAGGCAGTTCGGTGGCCATTCGGCGTTCCGCAAAATACCCCGGAAGCCCTTCCCGCAAGACTTTGCCGACCGTCTCTCTCCCGAAGGATAAATAAATAAACTCCCAGACATAGTGGTAAAGCTTTATTGGCTGACAATTCTTTCTATTAGCGATCACTATCCCCACTGTTCTTATTTTCATGACCCAAACTGATACCTGCGTTTTAGCGGCGCGGGTATACTATGTTTCCAGTTAGGCTAGATAGATACACACTTGTCGGCTCCGAACAGTATGGTCTTGGAACCGTTTTCAACTGAAAAAGTGTAGAGATTGTGGCCGCTTTTGTGTGATGTATACTCGAAAATTGTGCGTCAAATTTATCTATGTTCATCTGGAAACTATAACGACAGGTATCATTCTAAGTTACGAAGATCGATTTGCGGCTCAAGAAAAGAGCACTTGGTTTATCAAATTGAGCGCAGAACCGGCTTAAGATTATCACAAGCCTAAAAGTATACACATCTCAAATATTTTCTCACGACAAAAGAAACAATAATTAGATTTTATCATAACAGGAGGGAATAAGTCCAGCTGGGTGTGAAGACAATTAGGAAAAAGGCGCCGACTATGTAGCTTGCCATGAAATAATCATGAAGTGGACAGTCTGGGAGCATACTTCACCGATGATTCAGCAAGAATCCTCCTTCTGGTTGTCTAGTGGGTGATACACAGACTTTACCACTCCCGGATATCAGTATATAGTTCAAAGTCCCAAGAACGAATGATCAGTCATCCTTCGAACTAAGGTCTGTAGAAATTCGTCATGTCAGTTTCGTTCACCAAACTTTTTGGGTCATTTTCAATTACTATGAAAGCGTCAATGTTGACGAAGCGAGGGGACTGCGAGTTTCAGAACTTTCCAGCGAAGGGTGTGAGTGACAAAAAGAAAACAAACGAAAAGATGAAACATCTAATTGGGAGATTTTATACTCTAACATAAGTTTGCCATCAACCTAACTGGTCTGTTCTTGTGTCGATATAAAAAGCATCTGTCCGTTTTCCTGTTCATTCCCTCCAATCCCTACAATTTCACTGAAATTTCCTGTATTGACGCCATTGTTTTGAAATATCAGACCATAAACACGACACTAAAAAGCTTCTAGAAATTCAGTTGAACGGCGATTAAGGAATAAACTGGGATGCTGGTTGCAGCTCAGTGCCGCCCAGTACCTATAATCTGAATAGTCACACTTTTATAACTCTAGTTAGATGCACCTATATTTGACAAGAAGGCTTTTCCAAAAACTTTGGTTCAACGCTGGGTGGTACATTCGTTCAAGAAACTGGTTCTAGTAGATTTGATACCAACTGTTCCTCCTTAGGCTCAAACACTCGAAAAGGGGAATTCGTGCGCGGAACGTTTCATTGGAAAGGTCAAACAAACTCAAACGCTAGAACTCATCTTGCCAAGCATCAAAACAAACGATACCACAAAAATCTTGCTCATGCAATAACTTTGTTTGGTTAGTGAACATATTGATGTCGTTTACAGACCCCAAAAAATAATCTACCTTATAAAACCAACGCTATCACGGAGAATCTTTTTAAGGCATTTCTTTAAAATCCATTATTCATCATCGACACTAAATGAAACTGAACGATAGATTAATGTCCTTATCGTTGACCTTGTTTACTCTGTGGTTAGATATTTCATTTCCTTTTTTAAGGTTTATCTATTTCCTCACAGTTCAAAACAACCCCATGGGTGAAGTCAAGCTTTTAAAGATAATTCCCTGCACGGACTTCAAACAAAGTTAATGGGCATCTTGCATAGCCACGACTAAATCGGTGAACGAAAAGTAAGGCTGTGTAACTTTCCGTTAAATGGTCCTGAATAATTGACCTAAAACTAATAGCCTTCTGTCATATATACACTACGTCATACAGTTCCAAAGTAAGGGGAAATTACTGCATTAAATTTGAAGTATGTTATCCAGTGGGTAATGTTTGCTCACTCCCAGGTGTCAAAGTGTTTCAAAAATATTTCAAGAATATTATTCCTTGTGAAAAGCAACTGTTAAGGACTTGATAAGGTACATTGACATTTTCTACTATAAAAATAAACTACAAAACACCGCAAAGGCTGTGTTTACGAATATGTCTCTCAGCTTGCGATAATGAAAGAACAATATTTTGTGAGCTTAACTTTATCTCCCTCTGACATGGGGTCAAAGGGATGTTAGGCTCAAGATAGAAGCCTCGAAGGGGGTTGACCAACTTCCGCTATTTATCACCAGAAAATATTCTGTCATTATCAGGCCTTTTTGACGTTTTTATTTCACTGAACAGCCCAGCATTTATTATTTTCGCCCTATGCAAGAACATCCGGGAAATTTTTACTTGTGGAATCCGGAATCCTGGGGTTTGGAATCCGGAATACAGCTCAAGGAATCCGGAATCCTACTAAAGATTGGATTCCAGAATCCAAGTTTCATTGACAAAGAATACGTAATCCAGTACCTTCAATCCGGAATCCACGGTGCGGAATTCAGAATTCAAGCCTGTCTTTGATTCTCTTGCATGGGGCAATTATCGGAATAGACACATGTCTTTAGTTTTCCCAAAGTTCATTTTACCTGAACCCTAGAATTCACTTACAAAGACCTGCATGTAACGGCGGGCGTGTAACCATAAACATGAATTATTCCCCTTTAAATACCAATATTCATCAGGCAAAGGCACTGCGTACGGTGGATGAATGCGTGTTAACCATAAACATGATATTATTCTCGTTTAAATTTCAAAGAATGTTCATCAGGTAAATCAGGCACTGCGTGATTTTTTTTTTTTATTAATTCTCATTTTCTTTGGCAACGTGGATATTGAATGAAAATACTACTGTTACTTAAAGGGTTAAGTAGCAATACTTTTCCAAGCAACCTTGGAGTTTGTACGGTGGTGCACTGCTACATGCAAAAGAATGAACGCCATTATGTCTTTTTCATCGTTTAAAATACCATCACGTGGTTGGCGAGACATGTATGTGTACAAATGCTAAAGTGTAAGTCATTGTTGGGGACTGTGAGGTTCTAGCTTGGCTAGTTAACGAAGGAACCGAGAGACCGATTGTTTGCCATTTACATGGGCAAACCAGGACTAGTAAACTTCATCCCGGGATCGCGTTTACCATTTGTACAAATCAGTTCCATTTACCAAAAAACGACCACGTAGGCCTGAACCCGGTATCAAAGATGGCTTTGAAGAAATGGAACACCAATTTCCGTTTGGAATATTCTGTCCGGACAGACAGGACCTAACCTTTTCAGATGTTCCGTTGCTCCCG